CGTTCACAAAAAGCAGTGCACAATGCTTGGAGTTTTTTTTCCCCACATAGAAACATCTCCGTCTGATCTCCTGCTTTCTGGTTGATAATGCGCTAATCAGTCAGATGGCCCGGGGTTGTCTTTGGTATTATTGTGAGCACCTCGGTTGCCAATCCTTGGATTAACTCCCAGCGTCAGTGTTTCGCAACCTGGATTCTTGACTTGAGCATCTAATGAGGAGCAGTGAACTCAATTAGGATGGCGTACAGTCTCACTGTCAAACAAGATGAACCTGATTAGATTCTCACGGCCTAAACTTAGTCCCCAACAACTCCACACTGTATGTGGAGGAGAGCGCATACAGCAGTACACAACCGCTGCTTACTAATCAATAAAAACGTATTATAACCATCACCTGGGATTCGATTTCATTTCTCATCGACGGCAGAATTTAATAGAGATTTACAGGTTTAATAAAAGTTGCTTATTTTGCGGTTGCTGGCCTTCAATGCCCAATTTAAAAAAAGGTTTTTAGGCATTTCTTTTGCAAAGCAACTGCGACAGAAAGTGGAAAATTGTATTTAATTAAGAAGAAAAATCAAAGGCAACTTCCAGTGAGAATACAATCAGTAGTTTGGGGACGTATGGCTCAACAGTTTGTTGGGGGCTGCTATGACGGCTGAAACTCACAGGAAACTACGATTGTTGGTCAGATTTGGGGAAAAGGTTTGGGATTGGTTGAATTTGTGTGAATTGTTGCGATTGCAGCATCCTGAAAGAACTGGTAAGCAAAGCGCTTCCTCAGTTTACTGATGCTTGGCAACAGCACTCATCACCGACTCCATCATCCAGATTTTAACTTCTAAATATCAAACATGATTGACAACGATTGGGGCCGCCCCTGATGAGTCTGGGAGCCGGTTGGGAGGTGAAGGACTGGATCTGTAAAACCCTTACATTACCAGAAGAGCTGAACATCAGTACCAAGGTCCCGGACTGGGTTTCTCCTGTGATTGTCAGGAGGGGTGAATCTGAGTTAAATCGGCCCAAAACTGCTGCAGTCTGAGCCCGACTAAAGGCTCTTCGATGTGTATGTTTGGTTTGCGCACCAAGGCTCTCCAGCTGTAACAATCATCACGTTGAAGGCTTGGTGACAAACACTTTTTTAATCTATTCTTAAACGTTCAATGTGTAATTGTCTCCTATCAAAACAACAACAAAAGCTGGAGTTTGATGACTTTGTGAAGTAGCGTGGGATCGTGGGAGTTGTTGTCAGGCAGAAATGATTCACGTACGAGCTAATTCAGGTTAGGGTTAGTCTCGTTTGCAGACTTCCTTCCACATTCTGATGTATTCCATTTATCCCACATATACCGGGAAGTTACAGTTACTAGAGGGAAGCAAGGAAACGCAGCGTTACATGAAGAAAATGACAGATTTCATTTGGGATCATTTAAGTACACAAATCAGCAAACTATATATAACATATGTTGAGTGTTTTTAGACATTTGAATATGGAAATGTTGCACATTATATCTTTAATGAGCTTTAAACAGCTGATATACGTTCTTCCTCTGTGCCATTGAGCTCCATTGTTGTCAATGAGGGACGCTGTAGCAATGGCTGACATGTTCTGTGTTTCCTAGAGTTTCAACATTATAGAAGTCGACATGCTAGACGAGCTCGGCCGGTAAACCTTTTACTGGTTTTCTCTGCCTCTTTTTAATGTCACCGATCATTCTCATTGTTCATGACAAACAGGAACGAATATGCAAATATTCTTAAATGAAAGCCAGAATTATTGCCCCATCTTGTTCCTCTACTTCACATACGGAAGGCGTCTGTGGGCTAAAGCACCTTTTGCTGGTGTAAGATCCTTTAATGCTTTGCTTTAAGTGCCCTGCCTGTTTAGTTTGATCCAATTTGTCCTCCAGAAAAAAAAAACGAATGCCTTGAAGTCAGCTCATGTCAACGGTTTACAGCTTTCATCGAGCGTAAGTGCATTTGCTATTTTAGAAGCTATTCATTAATTGATGGATTATTGATTGTTAACCCAGCAGACAATCGATGAAGGAAACTACAATTAAACTGCATCATTAGCACACAGACTATAAAATGTTATATGTTGGATCACAAGTCATTACATTTCACATGTACATCCTGAACTAAGAATACAGCAGAGTGGGTTTGTGGGGGGGTTTGTGGGAGCTCGTCATAAACAAAGTGGTCTCTACAGGTTGCTCCTCACATCAGCTCAATTACTGTATCCCAAATACAACAACAAGAGTGTGGGATCCCTTTCCCCTCCGATTACAGGTCCCCGTCCACCAACACATCAAAGTGTCTCACTGCAATAACGACTCATCTCATTTCTTCTGCAGTTAAGGGAAATATCTTTTTTTTTTTACAACCTGGGCCGTGGCCATCGTTCCATTAACCAACATGAAGGCAACAAAATGGAGTCCAACGAGGCGATGGAGGGTTAGCAATCCATCCAAACAACAACAAAAACACACACCTGGTCTGGCCACATTTGTAGACGTTAAAACAAAGGCAAGTATTGAACCTAATCCTATTTCTACAACAGTATGATGCAGGTTGTGATGTTTTTTTTTACGAATTCTTTGGAGTTGAATTACAAAGACAGTGGGATTTGTTTCTGTAACGCTTATTAAAAATCGAAGCCAACCGGTAGTTTGAGTTGATGTTTGTGGGTGGACTGCAGTGTTTGGTGAAACTCACAGGAAACTACAGTTATTGGTTAAATTAGCAGTGACCGGACGAACTCGCAGAAGAGCGCCGAATTCACAGGGATTGGTTGAGTTTGCGTGAATTGTTGTGATCGCAACCACCTGATGGGACTCGGTATTATCAAGATTATTGTGCCCGAGGGAGAATCACACCAAGAGACTGAATCCAGACAATGGCAGCTGTGGCCGGCTTGAAGACCCATTTTCACTGCAAGAGCATATTTTAAGATGTCTATAGACAGTTTGGCACCATATATTTGCAAAACTATTACGACGTACACAGCTTCGGTTTGTCGTTAGCACTGTTAGCTTCTGTCACCTGCAACCAATGTAAGAAAATGTAGTTAAAAACTTTAAAGCAAACTTTTTAAAGCAAACATTCAAGGTAGTAAAAACAGAGGTTTTCAGCCAAGTGTTCCTTTAAGGTGACCATGCCAGTCCTCCTTTAGAGTACAGAGGTTAGTTAGTTACAAACCGGCCACCGCCGCGAGCGGGCTGCAATATATCCCACGAGAATTTGGTCAAAGCGCTCAGTTGGCCTCTTTTTCCTAACCGTCAGGGTTGATGTGGATTTCGTTCTGACTTGGAGGAACTTTCACTGTAAAGAATTGGCGGTCTCAAACTAGCGTCAAGTTTCCCCACGTTTATATTAATACCTTACTGACGCGAACTGAAACCAGTGACTGGTTGAAGGAAGGAAAACCCCCATTTATCGACTCACACTTAGCGGCAATGTATAGAGTTAAGTCATTTGAAACAAATGAGGTTATTAAATGATCTCCAATGGGGAGACAAATACACATTATTAAATAATCGCGTTTTATAGTGCGTAGTTTGATGTTAACCTGCGTCGATTGATACTGACAGTATTTATGACAAACCTTTTGTTTGTGGGTGACGTTCTCTTAAAGAGGGCTGGGTGCTTTATATGATAGACGGATTAATGAGGTATAGTAGGCAATTAATGATTTTATATCATTCTAAACTCTAACGTATGAAAGGCAATTGATCTAGGCTAGCATATTTAATCAGCTATTATGAAATATCCTTTAATGAAATCATTTCAGTTGGAAGAAAACCCAACAGCCTTCATAGTCATTATTGTGTTTAACGCACTGTCCGGGTCACTGCTTTCTGCTGAGACAAGTCAGTTGGGTGAATGAACAGCTGACCACCTCCAAAAATCCCTCTTGTTGTAAATATAATGATTGTTAAAAAGCCACTAGGTTTAACAAGCGTGTGTGTGTGTAATAATAGTTTTCAGTTTGCGATCAACAAATGTGAAGCACAAGGTGTCCGACTGTAAACATGAGGAACGTAAATTCAATCTGACAGCGGTGCCAACTTGTGCTCCAACACAACGCTGCTGTTCACACAATGGTTGTCATTTGACTGAAACCCCAAACGCACCGTCACAAACTCACAAAACCCCTCGTATGAAAAGCAACCATCTCAATAACCAAATTTCAACCACATCCTCTTCAATCAAGTTGCGCGCTGTGTGACTAAAACCTGGCCTGAAGAGACACATTGAGGCCCCTGACGAGCTGCGTAGCAGGGGGACAAAAGGATGTGCAATTATGTGTAGATGTTTGGAAAGGGAGAGGAAGGGAGGAGGAGGGGGGGGGTGTATTATTGAAATCAGATTTTAGCTTTAGTCTCCTCTGATGGCCCACTCACGCTGGGTTCTTGCACAACAAGCAGGGGTTTCAGATCAAGGGCTGCATATAGTGCAACTGCATCAAAGGGGCTCGCACGGCGTATACACACCGCCACAGCCTCGGTGAATGTGTGCCACAACATATTTATGAACCGAGTGTCAGTCAAGCAAGCCTGGGAGAAAACTGAGGAATGCTTCTCGGAACAAAGGATGTCTTTAACGCTCGGTATTGTTGGAAAAAATGACAAATATCCTGCATCACAACCTGCTATTGTGTCCCTCAGTAAACTACATAGGATTCCCTGCACTGGGTTAACTTCTCTGGGAGTTGCAGTGTATATATATATATATATATAATATAGATCTATATATCAGGCAAACTGAGTGATTACATGCTCGCTCTGGAGGCATCGTGGAGCCAGGGGGGGGCCTGCATGTTGTGCAGACATCTCAACACAGTCATATTTTTACTTAGCATCTTACAGTAAGTCACAGGTTTGAGAGGAAGCACGCCTCCATCTCCCTATATGGCTGCAGCATAGCATGCACAGAAAAGATGCATCCATTAGACAGGCAGACAAACACAAGCTGATTTTTGGAGATGTGGTTACCTGGGCTCGGGCAGGATGATTTTCTTACTCGCCCGGGCCGCTGGAGTAGATTTGCTCTTCTCCATCGCCATCAAATAACTGACATCGGCGAGTACTGCTTCGAGGTCCGCCATGTTTCGACCCTGGGACGACCAAATCAATAAAATAACCGGGGCTGGGGATAGGGGGGGGGGGGGGAGAGGGGGTTAAAAAAAACAATGTCCTCCACCAGATATGACCAACATCAAGCGCCGAGGTGCGTGACAGCGGGCGACAGGGCTGACCATCGACTGGAGGAGGATGTGGGGGGTGGGGGATGCTGTCGTTGTCTCCGGCTGCTCACTTCGCCTCAAACTACCATCACTGTGACAGAAACAAGGAAACTGAGGAGGGAAGACATTGGGCGACAGGCTGCTCGAGGAATACACAGTCACCAGGCCCGCGGATCACCGTGCTTGTAATCCCATGTAGTAGTCCCAGTGGCGGGATGTGTTCTCACACGGACAGGCAGATGCTCCAGATGTTGGGTCTGGAGACAGCTGTCAGATCCTCCCCTGCTCCTCTTGATGGAAAAGCGTCCGGACGACTGGTGTGCGGCATGTGTTTGAGAAGAGAGAGAGAGAGAGTGGGGTGGGGGGGGTTTCTCTTTAAAGTGTAAACACTGTGCAGCCAGGGAGAGAAAGAAAAAGGGGGGGAGGTTTTTTAGTGGAGGGTAATAAAACTGGCACACGTGTAAACAACCTGTGAGACCCCCCCACCCCCTAAAAAAAACAAAAACGGGGGTGAAATCAGGGTTGAAATGTGCCTCGTCGTCCTTAATACCTCCAGCTGGTGCACCCCCCCCAAAGAAGAAGAAGATGAGCCATAAACAAAACCAAAAAAAAACTAAACTGTGTATCCTTTCTTCCTGTGTGTTTGTTGGAGGTTGAAATGACACAGAGGATGTAGTTAGAAGACACCAGATTCAGTCCGAGCACCGCCGGGGTTGTCACCAATCCGCACGGAGCTAACTTCTGTTAGCCTCCTGGCGACAAAAAAAAAAAAAATCGGTATCAGCTAGTTAGCCACCACGCTAAGCTAGCTCAAAATGAAACCTGCTAGCCAACTCGGCTAACTATCGAAAGAGAGGTTAATCGATAAGATGCGTCTGCGTTGTTGGTTTTGGAGTATTTCAGCTGGGCGGACACACACACACACACACACACATCCACCCTCCGTGTTGGCAGTTGAGTAGCTGGCAGGCTAGCTCTGGTTCAGGTTCACTTTAATAAGCTAACGGTTGCGGGCGAACTGGCTACTCGTGTTATTTGAGGAAGTCTCGCAGCGTTTCCGTAAAACTAAACGAGACTTCGAGAGTCTTTCGAAAAACAACGACAGAGCGGCGCAAAATAATCCATAGCTGCTGGTTCGTGTTTGCCCCGAGCGATGAGGGGGTTTGAGAGGGAGGCTCCTCGGTTGGAGACCCAGCAGAGAGCGACTGACTGCGGGCTGACGGTGACGCTGCTGTCGGTGGTGGTGGTGGAGGGGGGGGGGCGCTGGGAGATGGCGGTTGAACTTTTCTTAATCTCCGTGATTAACTGATAAGACAATTAAGAGCGACCCCGTGTGGAAGTTAAATAATGTCTATGTGCGCTGTCTCTCTCTCTCTCTCTCTTCGTGAACTCAAATAATTACCAAAAAAAAAAAAAAAAAATGGCACTCCGCCTAGCCCCGAGCGACTCCTGCCTGCCAGGCTATCCGTGCTGAGGGAGCCCGCGGTCGGCTACTCTGGAGCGAAAGTGTCGGTCCGCTTTGGTCCGTCCCGCTGCCTCCCGTGCGACCTGGCAAGCCGATTCTGTCCGCTCCTTTTCGGGTTAAGCTGCTCGTGTCCCGGCTCCAATATGGCACATGTTTTTAAGTTGAAGTCTCCCCCTCTTTTCGGTGTGTATTTGTCTGTATTTTTGCTGTAGCACAGTGGCACTACTTGCTTTGTGGTTCAACTTCCTCCCACTGCGGCGGGGGAGCGGCTCGTAAAACACGGAGCGGGTCACTGCTCGGCTGGAGCCGGACCGCAGGAGCCTATATCAGTGCGACCTTCCCCCCCTTAAAGGACCCCTCTTTATATCGGAGTAAACTCACTGTATTGTATTTAAACATATATTTATTTAAATATTAATAAAGGTTTTTTTAAATATCTACTCCGGGTATTATTTTATTCCCCATTTAATAACATTATTTGGAGGCTGCTACAAGTTGGCGCCCTCTCTTGCACATGGGCGTGGCAAAAAAAAACCTGGCCACGCCCCCTAAACGCACGTTTCACCGATATGTATGAAAATCGGTGCACACCTGTGTCATGACCAGACAAACAAAAAAGCCTCTTGGGCCCATACCCAAAACCCAACAGGAAGTCGGCCATTTTGAATTTTGTGTTTGTCATTATTGGCGATTTTCACGCGTTGTATTTTAACGAACTCCTCCCGGAGAATTGATCGGATCGACTTCAAATTTGGTCAGTGCAATCTAAAGACCATCATGATTAAAAGTTCTCCTCTTTGTGACTGTACGTTGAGCGGCGTGTCCGTGGCTTGGTGCCGAACTCCGACGTTACGCCATAGAAACAGGAAGGTGGGTTTTTTTGGCTTTTTCCTTTTATTAGGTAGGACAGCTGAAGGTAGACTGAAGGGGGGGGGGGGGTATGACACACAACATAGGGCCACAGCTCTACCAGGTGAGCTATCCAGGTGCCCCATGAAACAGGAAGTTGTTGTAACTTCATTGTGCTTTGTCAAATCTCAACCAAACTTCACATTTGATCGGAGTCCGAACACATCACATGCCAATATTCAGTCCCAAGTTTTACAAACCAATATTAATCCGATTTATAGTAAATAAATTAAATTAGCTCCCATTAAATAAATGCTAGGGGGGGTACATTAACATAGATACACTTACAATACTTACATAATATAATAATTTCTTTCAGCAGTATGAAAGATGTTATAATCATCCTTCCCCAGACTCGTCAAACAACTACAATGAATCCTCATGCTTAAGGCAACCTCAGCAGCTTGCATGTGGTTGTTTTTAAAGGTAAACACAGAGACATTCCCTTCAGCCACAGCACAATACTCGCTCTGCCAGTGTTTTTCCATGTTAATGCTTGTTTGGCTTGTAAAAGGCTGCAAAGATCAGCTCTCTGCCTTTTATATTATGTCCCTCCGGATAGATGCCAAGGACAAAAAACAGAAATAACAAATCCCATATATCAACACTGTAAATCCTAACAGCAAATCCTAATAAAAGCTAACATAAATGAATCCTCCTTAACTTATTTTACGGAAAAACTTCCTTTTTAATGCTTAAAATGTTGAATTTATAGTTAGTATTTGCCTGGAAAAGCCCCAAAATGAAGATATTTGAACTCAAAAACATTATTGTGGCACATTAGAGAAGCATTGAATAGAAATATCTTAAGGCGGTATTAGAATAAGACTATTTTATTCTAAAATACATACAACGTCTTTATTGATTGAATAACATATTAAATTAATCTCTATTATTTAACACATTATTTTTTAATTAACATAATTTAATGTGTTAAATTTGACAGCATTTGACTCCAAACTGGGGAGGCCCTGGCAGTGTTTAGGGCCACTCCTCCTGTAGATCCGCCCCTGTATATCTAACAGTTTCATAAGTAGGGATTTCCCTTTTTACGGACCATTTTGTCAGCGGTGCCTGGAAATAACATCGACCTGTCTGTGTACAGGAAATTTCCCAGAAGTGGGGATTTGAAAAAAGGGAAGACCGGCCTGTTGGATAAGTGAAAGCCTCACTGCAGAACATTTAGCATATTCAGTCGTCACCCCCCCCTCTGTGTCAGCGAGCCTGTTAAATAAGTTGTTTTTCACGTTGAATGTGAGCGTTGACGAAGCCACAGCCTCTGACAGTTATTATAAACAGCATGTTACAGCACAGTAAGTGGTTTTCTGTAGGATGCCCCAGTGAGACGCAGTGTGTTGCTTTGGTGGAAACGCAGTGCCGTTTCCTGGCCACCGGTGGTAATGCTCCCATGATACACGGCAGTGGATATAATGAGCTCCAGCAGGCCTTCACACACTGTAAGATATCAAAACCTGGGATGTTTTATTCCTTGGAAACATATTCTGCAACTTTTTTAATAACTGATTGAACACTTAAATGGACACGTCTCTGTATAAAGGGGATTCCTTAAGATAAAAAAAACCTCTCAAATTGGAGGTCGAGGGTCTAATGTGCAGCCATTTTATCTTTGCCTTTTTTATTTTTTCCTCTTGTTAGATAATTTTACTTCTTGAGGACATTTAAAAAACCACTTTTAGATTGAACTGATCATCTAGAAGTCATTTCTTTGTGTTTTAGGAATCAAATAATTTGGCTTAAAGAGTTAGTACAGATATTTAACAGGAAACAGCTCATTCAGTTTGAGCAAAAACATATGAAAATGCTTGAACTTTTATGCAGTTATTATAAATTATGTGTTTTAACCACAGCTGGAGGTAATAACTGTTTTCTTTAATATGTTGTTGTTTTTTAGAGTAATTGATTAAATCATTTAACTACAGGAAAATTAGGAAAAATGCCCAAAGTGTCAACCCAAAAGCATTAAATCTAAATTGAATGTTTGGTATTTTTGCTTAATAGCTGACTTAAGATATTAATTGATTATCAAAGTTGTCACAGATTAATTTAATTTCAGCCTTTAAGTTTGTGAAAATGTGTAAAACCTGATGAGTTAGTTAGTTAGGAAACTGATCGTCTTAAACCCTTTATCAAGTCAAACAACTTCAGTTAATTGAAGTTACTCAAATTTTTCCAAACTTGTTTAAAATGTGTGAACAGAATGAATAAAGTCACTTAAATCTTCTTTATACAAATATTGAATTTACTATAAAGTACTAAAGCTAATTATTACATTACCTGTAAAAACAGCTGACATACAATAAAAGTATTGATTACTAAAATTGTAGCCAATTAATTGTCAGTAAAGAAAATGAGTCAGTGGAACAAACTGTAATTATATCTCCTGTATTTAAAATACTGCACAAAGTAAGTTCACTCAAAACAACTGAGTTGCTTCAACAATGAATTTGTGAGTTGAGTTTAATTCATGTGAATGAGTGAGGATTAATTTACGTTAAATTTTATTACGACCTTTATAATCTACTCAATTTAGAATCGCAGATATATATTACAGCAGCTCCTAAAAACAAAGGAGGCTAATGCGTCTCCACTCTGACATTAATTATATTAACTGTGTAGAAGTATAAAGATATTAGTTTGTACTGTGGAAGAGGTAAACCTTCTGATAGTCAGATTAAAGCTATCAAACATAAGAGTTTTTAGGATGAACAGTTTGCTCTTTTGGATTAAAGACGTTACTCCAACAAATGACACAGCACAATCTTATAATGGTGAGTGAATACACCTCGGTGGACGCTTTCTATAAAGGCTGTGAGCTTTACTGAGAACATATTGGACCCATGTTGTCATCTTCCTTTTTCTTCCTTGTCATCTTTTTCTTTTTTCTTGTAACCTTGTTTGTTTGCATTTACTGTCAATGTTTCTTACTTTTATTTCTTATTCTTACACCCTCTTGTTTTACAGCTTAAATATCTTAGTGAACCGTATAATATAAACTCTGCATTACAAATGTTTTCAGCTCAACCTTTATTGCCATCCTGTGAACTGTGTGTGAGTGGGTGGGTGCAGATAAGCAGATACAGCGGTGGAAGTCAGTAAGGTTTAAGAAAGACAGTTTATTCAGCACTGGGAAGTAGAGGGGGTCAGAGGTAAAGGGTCACAGGGGAGAAAGGGAGTTTGGGGTAAGTTGTTACTGCTGAATACGGCGGATGGACTGGATCTGAGGGGTCTGGCAGTGGGAGCCAAACTCCCTGAAGTGTTTGAACTCCCCACAGTGACGATCACACTCCATGATATACTGGTATCCACGATAACCAGGATACTGGTAGCACACGAATCTGTTGAGACATCACAGAGAGAGAGGAAGAAGTGCTGATGAAATGTTGCAAAAGATTGTTGTTGTGAAAGCAGGATTATTTTTAAAACCCGCTGAACGGCGGCTGGGAAAAAAAACACACAAAAAATGTGAAAGTGGAAGTAAAAAGAGGAGCTGGTTCATCAGCCGAGGACACTCACGCTCCAGACTGGATCCTGAGAGAGCCAACTTCATTGTTGCACCAGCCCATGGCCTGGAGGGAGGGATAATCGTCACTAAGCTCACCCTTACGGCCCAGGAAGTTCTCACGCTCATAGATAGTCATACGACACTCTCTGTGGTTCTGCAGGGAGGAGAAAAAAAAAACAAAAGGACAAAAACAATGTGTATAAGTGGTTTTTCCAGTCAGTCACATAATGTGTGTGTTCAGAATAAATAGTCTGCTAGGAACAATAATGTGTGTCTGATGTGTTTTTGTTTCCTCAAGAAAATTATAATAGTTTCAAGTTTCTGCATCACATTCGTATAAGTTAAATAAAGGACCAGGATCTGGGGCGGATATAGATAAATATTCATCAGGTGGATGAAATATAAACTGATTTAAACACAAATAATCACACACACACATTAAACACAAAAGTCCCCAAACTGAAGATATTTAAACTCAGAAACATTATTGTGGCTGTTTAGAAGTTGAGACAACTTTTAACTATTGAAATAAACGTTTCAAAGTTTGCTGTCAATATAATTTACTTTTCTTTCTCCGAAAAACTCAAATCTTTAAGTTTTAAAAACAGACTATCCGATGCAAGTATCATAGTGTTTGCAGCAGATTCACACTGACTCTGACTGTAACTTACAGCACAGGCAATGGGTCTGAAGGAGGTCATCCTCTCAATGTGATAGGCATTGCTGCCTCCGAAGGCATCACACTGAGGGTACTCTCCCCTCTCCAGGACGAACTGCTGTCCCTGGTAGGAGGCGTGCTCGTAACCCACCC